ATTGCTACTGCATTAAAACAATAAAGAATAACTACACTTACAGTTGTAGAAGGAAAGCTAAAATTCAAGGATTAGCATCATTAATCAAATGAATCCTCCCTCACTGTAATTAATATTGGCAGTAGACTGTGCTGTCTTTGCTCCCTCTTCTCTAGCCTTTTCCTAAATTGGAAAATTGCTCACCTAAGACCCTCAGTTGGCTCAGCTGGCGATTTGGCCTTTCCCTTTAAGTCTATAACTGGAGCACTGAAAGAGGTGTGTGGCTTCTTAAGCAGTAATTGAGGCCGATCTCAAAAAAATGCAGCCTTGAAGGTGTGAGGAGAGGTAAGCACAAACAGAACTTCATTTTCTCTTAGAAGGGAAAGTTATTTTCCCTTTCCACCTTCAGCAGGCTATTGATGCCTTGTTCCCTAAATAGTAGGTTAAAATGTTCTGCGGTTCATGGGACTGCAAAGGTTTATGTGCTTACATGGTGCCACTCAGGTTCTCCCTGGATGCTGTGCACAGAAAAGCATTGAGAACACAACACTTTTCACAGCTTTTTGATGTTTTCTGGGGCTAAAAAAATTGGGTTGAAAATAAGGAAGATTTTTTCTTAGCTTTTCAAATCTCCATAACCAAGAGGGTGCCTATGGTAATCTTGGAAACTGTTGCCAAAGGGAACATGCCTCGTGGGCAATGTCTAGTGAGTAGGTAGGAGACTGCACCTGATCAATAAACAATGGTGGAGTTGTTTTCATGGAGCATGTTTTCCATGAACCCAACCCAAGCAAATTAAACCATACATGAACCACCAGCCAGTGTGATATCTTTAAGAAATCAGACTATGCTCAATCAGAATAAAAACACCCAACTGGGTGTCATTAAGCTTTTGAAAGTCCTTATGCTGCTGGAATTTTTCCCTTGAGGTAATGATTTTGTTCAATATTGTTGCAGTGTGCATTTTTGAGTATTTGGCATGTGCTGGGAGCTATTATTCTAGTTCTCCCCCCACTCACAACTTCTCTGGCAGATACTACAGTGAAAATTTCAGTGAAGTCGCAATCAAGGAATCTTCAGTTCCACTGCTCCTTCTGCTAACAACACATTGTAACCTTGACTAAACTACCTAACTTCAATGAGAATCAGATTTGCCAACCATATAGTGAAAAGTTTGGATTGTTGGGAAAAAAAAAAAAAACTGTAAGATTTCCTACAATTCTACAGTTCTATGATCCTTTAAATTTGTTTTTTAGCTAACATGTATTGCACTCTTATTTATTACGTGCAATTCATTGTTCTAAATACTTTTCCATGTATTATTGCACTTACATTTCACAACTCTGTAAGGCAGTCACTATGCTCACCATGTTAAAAATGAGGAATAATTCTATAATGTAGTTCAATGTAGTATCACCAAGGGGAAGTCTACCATTCAGGTGGAAGGAGAATCACGCTAGAGAGTACACAACATAAGGGCAGGTGCCACAGCCAATCACCTGACCTCTCTCAGCACCTATCATAGGTCCTGGCACCTAATGGGAAGTCAATAAATACTGATTAGATATGTAAGTGAAAGAATAAAATTCAATATCATTTTTATAAAATGTATCAAGAAAGATGGGCAGCTATGGTTTACAAGCTTAGAACTCACCCAAAAGTCCATATGCTGTGTTTCAAAAACATTGAGGCTTTAGTTCTCGTATGAGTTTTGACGTGTCAAGATTACCCTTCATTTGCTTTTTAAAAATAAATGTATTCACATGGTGGAAGAATTTTAAAAATAAAATTTTTACTGTGGCTTCTCACTGATAATTCTGGAATGCATGGGAATTTTAATTTTCTAATCCTGGTTCATATAATCAGGGAGTACATTTTTAAGGAACTGTGTTTAACTGCAATCTTATTTTAAAATCTTTCACAAAAAGATAAAAATTTGGGCAACTATCTCGGAAGTCATGCTTTGTCAGATGAAATAATTATGTTTTTCGATAATTTTGGCAAACATTGAAAGGGAAAATGTGCTCTAGATGAGGAAAAAATTCAAGTGCATGTAATCGCTTATTTAACATCAAATAAAATGCTATTCTATCCTTTTGGTATGCCTGAAATATTTCCTAAAAGCAAAAAAAAAAAAAGTTTATCAATAAAAAGATTAGTGATAGCTCAAAATGTAATAATTTGCTCTTGTTGTTATTCTTAGTATTAATTTTTTTCTGTTATTTCCATTTGATAGTGATAACACACAGAAAGTGCTGCAGGGTCTATGTCAAGGCCAAGATTGACCTCTACAGAATGAGCATTCAAAAATAGCAGGAAGGCCTGGTGCGGTGGCTCACACCTGTAATCCCAGAACTTTGGGAGATGGAAGCGGGCAGATCACAAGGCCAGCCTGGCCAACATGACGAAACCCCCTGTCTACCAAAAATACAAAACAATTAGCGGGGCATGGTGGGATGCACCTGTAGTCCCAGCTACTCAGGAGGAAGAGGCAGGGGAATTGCTTGAACCCAGGAGGCAGATGTTGCAGTGAGCTGAGATCACGGCACTGCACTGTAGCTTGGGCACAGAGTGAGACTGCATCTCAAAAAAAAAAAAAAAAGAAAAGAAAAGAAAAATAGGCCAAGCGTGGTGCCTTATGCCTGTAATCCTAGCACTTTGGTAGGTGGAGGCTGGTGGATCACCTGAGGTCAGGAGTTTGAGACCAGCCTGAACATGGCAAAACCGCATCTCTACTAAAAATACAAAAATTAGCCGGGCATGGTGGCGGGTGCCTGTAATCCCAGCTACTTGGGAGGCTGAGGCAGGAGAATCACTTGAACCTGGGAGGTGGAGGTTGCAATGAGCTGAGACTGTACCATTGCACTCCAACCTGGGCGACAAGAGTGAAACTCCACCTCAGAAAAAAAAAAAAAAAAAAAATAGTGGGAAGAGTAGTGGAATGAATAATAGCCAGGCCTTATTTCTAAGAATCCATTTTAAAAATATATTTTAAAAAAAGATCAACCCAAAGTGATTCTGTATTGCCAGATCTTGTAAACTTTATGTGTCATCAAAACAACGAGGTCTCCTGCATTCCAAAATGTGTATTTCTAATCTACAAATTTTTATGTTGACATATATTTGTCTGTCACTTATGTGGTATGTAGAAAAGTAACTAAGATACCCACTGGATCCAGTTGCTTCAGAGCAAAGCTTTCATCCCCTTTAGTTTGGATGATAACCATAGATTCTGTAACCCAATGATCAAAGATATAAAAGAAATTGAGATTCAAAACTGACAACATTGACCTTTGGGATAAAATTCTCTAGCTACTGTATTCTTTCACAGAATGCTTAAGCTTTTTTGGTTGACTCTCCAAAGATTCCACCCTCAGTAAAGCAATTTTCTATAGCTAGAATTAACCCTTACATAGTTTTACAAAACCCTAAATTAGATTTTCCACATAGAATATGTTCAGTAAAGGATTTGGACTAATAAAGGATTTGGTTTTGGTCCACAGAAGACATGAAAATGATTATTTTCTACTAGCCCATTTATTCAATCATCTTTTCCTTCCACAAATATTTATTGACTGCCTTCTATACTCCAGGCACTGTGCTAGGCATTGTAGGTGCAGCAATGAACAAAACACAGTCCTTAGTCTTGACCTAACAGAAAAGATAAATAAGGACAGACCCAATTACAATACTTAGTATATGTGTTTTATGATCTGTGCTGACACCTCACCCAGTCTCCAGCAGCCCAAGATTTCCCACAGGAAATGCCATCCATGCTGAAATGTGAAGGACCAGTAGAAGCAATCCCAGGGGAAACGGCAGCATGGGGAGTAGTTGAGACCCAGGTAGAAAATTGTTTCAGATACAGAAAATGAGATTGGCAGATAGATGGAGCATGGGGCATTCCAGAAACACAAGCTGTCTGTCACTACAGGGCAAGCAGATTTTTGCTCCCACTGCTGTATCCTATTTACAACCTCTTTTGACATAGATAGGATAGTTAAGACAATATCTATGAGTTTTTACCATATTTGGACGCAATTCTTTTTTCAGCTCTCAAATTTGGTGACAATACTATTTCCTTTTACATTTCTTCTCCCTCATGCCATGCTCTGCCCCTCCCGGTGACCTCTGCAGTCTGGCTCCTTTGCAATCTCCAGCTGCCTTCTGACTACGTCATTATCACCATTGAAGGGCTAATGAGACTGGACAGGAGGGCTGATGCCTACCATGCCGGTGCTTAAGTTCGACTCCCAGCTGCCTACATTTCTCTGGCTCACAGAATTCCACTGTTCTCCTTTCAGGAAGAAAAGGATTACAAGATTAGCTTCATGATACCATTTCCAGCCTACCATATATAGTAAGAGGAAGCAATTAAATGTGACTTCTATGACAACCTTTCAATCTTCAGCCAGACTCCCCATAGGATATCTGTCTGGAGGGAGGCAGCAGGGGTTTCAACTATGTAGGTGAGGTCAAGGAGTGTATAATTACAGCCAAGTGCTACAGATTCTAACATCTCTTTTAGCCTCCTGCCACAAACAGCAACCAGTGTGTGAATAAGGCACAAAACAGTTGCTCAAGTTAGAAAGCCAACATTGTGGGGAATCTGAAAGTCTAGTCTCCATGGGTAGTGCAAAAGAGAGTCCTTTAAATAAATAGACTCAAACAGCTTTAGGAAACACTGTTAACCATGCCCAGCTAGCCTGGATTTTAGCTGCAATGGAGAAAAGAAATACATTTGTCAGAATCCTACTTTCCGGCCCCCCCCACAAGACTCAGCCACTCCAAAAAGCCTTCCCAAAAGCATGCAGTCAGAATGGTCATCAGAACAATAAATCACAGAGATTTCTGGGGTATAAGAAGAAAAACAAAAGCTTTTCAAACCATTACGTTCTCAAGGAAGGTGGATAAACCTTCTAAAGGAAAACTCAAGATCTCCACTGCTGTTCTGAGCTCATAAATGGACAAAGAGTATTTTATTTAGGTGAACATTTTGAGATTTGGGTTGGCTTACTTACAGTGGAGTTTGAGGGAGTTGATTTGTTGTGCTTCATAAAGAGAGAATTGGCATCCCCGGGAACTCTAAAGTGTAGAAGGAGGACTGGGTCTAGGAGTCGAGGCAAAATCTCCAGCTTCAGGAAACCATTACAGCTGCGGAGAAGCTTTGGCCCAGGCTTTAGGGTTCTTGCATCTCTCTCTGAAGAGGAGAGATGTCTGTTGACCTTGGAAAAGAAATGAGGCATGAACCTGGGACAAGAGCCCATTAGCCCCACATGGTTCTAGCTGGTGCAGCACAGAGCCCTGGGAAACTAGGAGTTAGAAAGGACTCAGATGAAAAGATAGAGGGGGAAGGGAAAGGAGAAGGCAGCAAAATGGTGAATGGTGCTGTAGAGAGTGGCTTGACAGCAGGGGAAACAATTGCTCTGAGGCAGGATGGCCCAAAGAACTTCTAGAAGCAGGAGAGCTAATATTCAGTTTTAAATAGCTTGCTTTTTTTGCAACATAAACTCCTCCTTAAAGCATGAGTGAAATCTGCTGCACATACAAGGGCTTTGAGTGAATGACTGTTTCTGGGAAACCAAGAAAAGTGACTCAGGTACAGGTCTGCATTCATGTGAAACAAAACAAGAATGATAGGAGAGGGGGAAAAAAATAAAAAAAAAAATAAAAAAAATAACATGAGCAGGACCCACAAAACAGAGATAAGACCATGACAAATAAACCCTCCAGAAATGTGCATGATCCTGTGTCATGAGTTTGACTTTTCTCAATTCTAGAATGGGGTATGGAGAAGGTAATCTTATCTAGACCTCAAGGGCAGGTGACCCAGCTAGCTCTCACTCAAGTGATATATAATCATTCTGCTGAGGCTTATGTCATGTGATTTGAAGGATGCAACAAGAATTTCCTAAACAAAATGTCAAATATTTTCTCTTGGCTTATGCCAGAGCCTGAAATCAACACCATCATCATTCTTTCAGGGTGAAGCATGAAAATCTTCCCTTAAAATGCAATCATACTCTGACACCCATTAGGATCACTACTATCCAAAAAAAAAAAAAAAAAAAAAAAAAAAAACCAACCAGAAAACAAGTGTTGGCAGGGATGTAAAGAAGTTGGAACTTTTGTGCACTGTTTACTGGGTTGTAAAATGATGCAGCCACTATGGAAAATTGTGGCTGTTCTTTAAAAAACTACAAATAGAACTACCATGTGGTCCAGAAATCCCATTTCTGGGTATATTTCCAAAATAATTGAAAGCAGGATCTCAAAGAGATATGTGAACACTCCTGTTCTTAGCAGCACTATTCCCAACAGCAAAGAGGTGGGAACAACCCAAATGTCCATTAATAGATGAATGAATAAACAGCATGTGCTATGTACACGCAATGGAATACCATGCTCCCTTGAGAAGGAAGGACATCTTGTTATGGGCTAAGACAGAAATGAACCTTGCGGACAGTATGCTAAGTAAAATAGGCCACTCACAAAAGGACAATAACTGTATGATTCCACTTACATGAGGTATCTAAAGTAGTCAAATTTATAGATATGAAAAAGTAGAATGGTGGTTACCAGGGCTTGGGAGGAGGGGGAAGGAAGGAATCATTTAATAACTACAGAGGTTCAGTTCTGCAAGATGAAAACATTCTGGGGATCCGTTTCATACCGTTGTAGATATACTGAACACTATTGAACTGTCCACTTAAAAATGGTTAAGATGGTAAATTGTATATGTTTTTAACCGCTATAAAAATGCAGCCATCTTCTGTATAACAGGTCATCTTAAACCATCCTCCTTTACACTTTCTTATGAATTCATTTATCAGATTAGCTTCATTCTCTGAAGGACAGATGCGTCAGTTTTCATAAAGAGGAGAGTCAAAAGGGTGTTAGGAAATGGAGGCTCAGGGCATCATAGAAATCTCTGGGCATCTGGGAAGACGACCAGGCACAGAAGCTAGGGAGCTAATGCAGAGGGGAGCGGGGGCTGCAGAAGCATGAGAGAGAGAGGGGCAACACAAAGACATGAGAAAATGCACTAAAAATGCATTTTTTTTCTCATATTTTCCCTGAAGCTGCTATCCTTGGGTGACCTCAAGAACTTAGAGGCAGTGAAAAGTTGCCTTTGCAAAGGCTGCCCTGAGAGACACTCAGAATAACATGGTTTGAAGGGCCCTTCTGGCAAGCGCATCACAGCTGGGTTTCCAGGACCACAAAGGCAGACTGAAACTTTCTCCATTAGCTGTGAGTGTGCCCTGCTGAACCTTGTGGGCCCAGATGGTGCTTATTTTTAGGCACCTTCCTCTTTCCATGACTAACTGGGAATTGTAAAGTATGGAGCTGGGTCTAAGAGCCAAGGCAAAGTCTCTATTTTGAGGAAAGCATTACAGCTGGGGAGAAGCTTTGGATCAGCAGTCTCCTGGGTTCCTGCCCCTCTGTTAAAGGGAGAGATGTCTGTTCACCCCTAAGCACAAATGGGGGCATGGACTTGGGGCTGAGGAAGCCCTGAGAACATATCAGCCCCAAATGACTACAGCTGGTGGAAAAGGAGCCCCAGCGAAGAGCTGCTGCTTGAGTGTTACCCCGATGCTGCCCCTGATGAGATAATTCTGCACTGATGGGCTTTCAGCAGTTAGTCTGGGCCTGCCTGGGCCACTCATCCACCCGTGGGCAGGACTCCAAGCCTCCAACTTTCATCTGGCTCTTTGCTCCAGGCCTTGCCCACACTGCATCAAGGCCAGCCTAGCATGAAGCTCTCATGTCCTCAGAAGGCACCTGGCAGAGAAGCTCAGTGTGGGCAGAAAAGAAGTACAAGGTTTTCTGAGAGTTCACTGAGTAAATACAGTGCATATAGACTACGAACCTCAGTCCATTCACTTGGGTATGTAAAAAATTGTGCATTACCTATTCTTCTCATTCTTGAAATCAATGTAATTCTGACTCCAAGCTCCATTCTCACTGGACCTGGAAGAAGTTAAAGCTATGCTTTCTTGCGTTTCCTCCTGCAAATATGTAAAGGTCCTGGGGTCTTACTAGCTTCAAGATGAGCAATTCCCTCAAGGTGTCAGTGTGGGTCCACACTGGCTGTGGCTGAGACACCCATTACCCCAGGTTATGCTGCTTCTTTGCCAAGGTTAGAAATCTCAGATGAAACAGGGGAACACAAATGGGAGAACCCAAGCCTCCTACAGGTGCCCTTCCTGTCAACACTTCCCCCCTGAGGCCTTGTCACAACCTGAGTTAGGGTACAAATTCTGAGGGCAGGTCCTCTCTCTCCCTCCCAGTCACCAGAAATCTCTCCTTCCAGCCTTATTGTTTCTCAGATGGCCTGTTCCACTCCAGCCCGCTCCAGGACACACGTCAACCATTTAGGATCTTAGGACACAGTCTTGAATTTCATTAAAGCTTTTTGTGCTTTCAACCCTGATAAATTCCCGAGATAAACAATCACAAAGCTTGGCCAACATTAGGGGTTAGGAACTCCATTTGAAATAAGGCATAGGTAGCCTAAGTGATGTGCACCATGTGTTGGAGGCAAAACCTAGACAAAGAAGCCAGGTGTGCTGATTGTAGGTAAGTGTCCTGTCCAGGATGCCACCAAATTGCAAGTCAGAGAGCATGCAGCAAATACTGGTTTTGGAACCAGCAGGCAAGAAACTGAAGGCTCACTTGTGTTTTATTATCAACACTGGGGAAGCTGAATAAAACCAGCTAGTGGTGGGCAGGGAGCCAGCAATGGCTTGATTAGATCTTCACTCCGTGGTTACCAGCCAGTGCCATCCAGGGAAAGCCTGAATCTGGAGGAGGAGAGGCTGTGCTGCCAGTGCAGCCAGCACCTGTGTTTGACTATTTCTACTGCTTATTTCAAGCAAACAGGCAGTGACGCAAGAAAGGCAGGAAAGAGGACTCTCTGAGCCTGGCATCTGGCGAGGCCATGTTTTACTGAGCATGCACGGTGCTTGTCTTCCATCTTGAGGATAAACCACTTGGCCCTCAGTCAGAAGCTCTCCTAACTAGAAAATGTCTTATTTTGGAAACAAATGCTAAGTAATGGGTTGGCTTCCTGGTGTTTATCTCTCTGGAGTCAGCTTCATATATCTGGGGGCTGGAAGCGATTAGGGGAAGGACTGTTGGAAGCTACATCAGGAAGGTGGTCCTGTTTTCTGAGACGCCCTCTGACTTTTTTGCAGAGCATCTCACTTTCCTTGGGACACCCCCACCTTCTCGTGCCTAGCATCACCAGGCTGCCTTGCTCCCTTTCTCAGGATGACACCCAGACCTGAACTTTCCAGGCACTGTCTCAAGGTCAAAAATGATACTGCCTTCTTCATCCTCATCAAAATTGCCGTTTTCTGGATGTCATGCTGTGTAGAATCGGGTGGCGGTGGTGAATGGGCCCACATAAATAATTCATTCTAAAACACGAGCCCTGCCAATATTGTTATATAAAAGAAACTTTCCAGTGGAGTATAAACTTTATCACGAACTTGAGAATTTGTATCAGCTTTGTTCACTACCGTGATTTGATAGAAAATTATCTCATTAAACCCAACAAAACAGGCCAGTAATAATAATATGGTTAAAAATGAGCCTCAAGAGAAATATTTAGTAACATTTGCCAAGTTTGGAATGTAATACATTATTTTGCTATTGTTGAAATCCTCAGCAATAATAACAATGTGGAAAAAGTACTTTCTCAGAAGGGATGGTAATTTCATAAGTTTAACCCTAATGTATTTGTATGCAGAAAATGAATAATACATTGAGCTCCAAAAGAAAGAAGGCCCATGAGGCAAAAAGGATACTACTAGGGGAAAGTCAGGTCATTACTAGACAAGAGGCCTGAGACAAAATAAACATGGTCTCGTGCAGAATTTTTTAAACTTCATGTAATGAGTGTTGTGGAACCAATTCCGTGAGTTTTAACCACACTTTTCTTTCTAATGGTATGAAATGGAATGTACTATACCACGGATAGTAAGGTCAGTATACACATGTATAAAATATATATGAGTTTGAATAATATTAAATGTAACTATGAGGATCGTGGTTTAAACTGTTTGAAAGCAATAAGTTCAAGGTGCTGGTTTTAAATTATTTTTAAGCTCAGAATTTTTATGTGGAAGCTTAATATGTAAAATAGATCAAAATAAATCTGCCATCACTGCAGGCACTGGTGAAGGGGGCGGGACTCGGCCCTGTCAGCTCGCTACAATCCACCTTCCTGTGAGCAGCAGAATTTTGAAAACCACTGGTT